CCCCATCTCCACCCCTCCCAGCCTCTGTTAACCATTATTCTACCCTCTACTTTTTTTTTTTAAACACACAAAGATTAATATCCTTACTGCAAAAAGAACTCTTAAAAATGGATTAGAGCAGAAATTGGGTGAAGGACATGAGTGGATGTCACACACTCCTAAAGAATACACGTGGTTAATAAGTACATTCTAGGATCTGGTTGCGGGCAGGGGTGGGGCTGGCCCAGCCATCTCTCAGGACCTCCAGGATCTGATTGCAGGCAGGGTGTTGGGCCGGCTCCATGGCTGGCTGGCGGCAGGGGCTGCATTTCACCTCCTTGGACATGCCTGTTCCAGTCTACTCATCCCTAACAGTCTGTTGTTGCCTCACATGTTTAAATAAAACTGCATGCGAGCAAACTGCACTCTCCACTGGCGGCTTTTTGTGCTTTTTAGGGGAGGGAAACAGACCAAATTCATCATAATTGCCATTGCTGAAAAGTATGTTCTGAACAGGAAAATTTATTTCATGGCCTAGGATGTCAAGCTGTATTTCTGTGCTTTGCTCAGCTATACTGTAATGGTTCCAATGGGTTTTCTGCTAAGTTTGTGCTGTAGGGTGACAAACACATTGTTAAGCCATCTAGTTTTTTCTTTTTTTTTCTTTTTCCTGTTGTGAAGTAGCTGTCCATCCAACTCTTTTCACCTTTCTTTGACTTTGGTATCCTAAATTAATCTAATCTTCCAAGCAGCCCATCAAACCAAATGTTCTGGAGTATGGAAGATCAAAGGTCAGTCTGAAAGTATGTACAGGCTACCACCTCCTTACTCTTCCTCCTCGAATTCAGAGTGCTGCTTGTCACTTTGTAGATCAGCTCTGAAAGATTGGACATGTGATTTCTATTCCCTCCCTTCTTCTCCCCCATTTCTAACGTTTTTAAATTAGAAAGTTAAAATGTGTTAATTGTAGAAAAGTTTGAAAATTCAGAAAAGCCCATAAAAGCACGTAAAAATCACCCAGAGTCACACTACCCAGAAATTATTGCTGTTGACATTTTAGTGTGTATTCTTGTCATTTATACACATATACTTAGCTGTACAAACATGCATACACAACTGGAAAGATGTTTTTACACACATCTTAAACACATCTATGCATATGAATATACACACACTTATGTCTCCCTATACTTTTATATTATTATAAAGGTGAAAATGACTGTTTTTTCATATGCCTTCTGCATAAACTCCTTTGTAAATTGCTTATAGCCTGCTCATAAAAAA